AGAGTCATGGGTACATGGCAGAGGGAGAAGGGGGGTCCGGGGTGCCAGGTCCGACACGAGGTGAGGGACCTCCGTTATGGGGCCTGGGGAGAGGCACGCGCCCTCACACACAGGCACTGGGCTGGGGTGGAGGGGGAGCGGGGCAAGGGGCACCTGGGCACAGCCTGTCCAGAGACAGGTCTGCATTGAGCACCTACTGTCTGCCCCCTGCAAGCTCCTGAGGGAGTATCTGATGGGGAGGTAGGTAGTATTTCAGTAACCGCACAAATGGGAATCTCATTGTCAAGGGCTCAGAACTCAGTACCATGGGGGCAGGGTCTGCCGTATCCCGGCATGGAGGACCATGCCAGGCACATGGCAGCCCCTTAATAAATAGAGCAGTGGAGGGGGTGGGGGTGTCAGAGAGGCTGTCCGGACATGGTAAGGTGATAACTAGGCAGGAAGGTTGTGGCAGGGGGCAGAGGAGCTCTTGGGCATGGGAGCACCATGTGCAAAGGCCCTGCGCCAGGACAGGGCTATGAGGGAAGCTGGGCCACCTTGGCTTCTCCCGGGCATGAGGTGCCTGGGACTGGGTGTCCAGGATACACACTCGGACTTGTAATGTGGCATAAGGAGCTGAGGGTGTGCAGAGCTCAATGGCAGCACGGCGGAGTGGCTGCCCCTTGCAGGCACAAGCTGGCTCCTGCTGGTTTGGGTGGGGCTGCTGACCTCCGCAAGGCCCCAGGCAGGGAGTGTGTGGGGTGGGGGTAGAGGGGACCCCATCCAGCCCTGCCCCCCTGCCAGGGACCTGCCTGACCCTGTCCTACCCACCTCTGGAGCTGGCCCTTTGGGGCTCTGGCCAGGCCAGAGCAGAGATGGCGGCCACGCAGGCAGAGGAAGCCGGCCCTGAATTAATCTGTCACTAAAGCTTGGCCGTGGCAGGCGCAGTCATGATTTAGATGAATAATTGAAACGCTTCGATACATTTATTATCCCTTTAGTGCAAAAGTGGCAGAGAAAGACGAGGGGTAATTGAAAAAGAGCGCACAAATCTCCAGGAGAAAGCCAGCTCCTTATCGCCGAGTAAACATTTCAGTCCTAATAAACAGGAGAGACACGCGTCAGGGCCCTGTCGGTTCCCATCCTGATTTAGGACCCGCCTCCCTTCTTACCATACAATAGGAGTGTTTTTAAAAACTTTTTATTGAGCCAGTAACTGGCTTTCCAGAAGGGAGGTGGGGAGAGGAGCCGGCCTGGCAGTCACTAGGCTGAAGGGTCTGGCGGGGAGGCTGGGGACTGCCCCAGGACTGTCAAGCCTCCCAGGAGCAGACCCTCTCCCTGGGGGCCTCTCCATCGTGCTCTACCTGCTGAACTCCTATTCAGCCTTCAGAGCCCAAGTCAAATGCCCCCTCTGCTGAGAAGCCTCCTACCAAACCCAGACCCCTTGAGGGCACAGCCAAGTCCTGAGTCCCAGCATTTGGCATAGCTGCCCTTTCCCACCCCCATGTCCCCGCCTCAGAGAGAGCCTGGGAAGGAATGGAGAGCGGGGGGCTTCCCCAAGACTCACTGTGCAGCCAGCACCACCATGCCTGGCCTCAGGGCTTGGTGGGGGTCCAGCCCCAGAGTGACACAAGCCCAGGAGTCCTGTCCCCTCCAGGTCAAGGCCCTTTGCTCCCAGAGGCCCCTGTGGCTCTCACTGAGGTTGGGGGTACCTGGCAGACTGCACCTCTGCTCCCCGAGGCTGCAGCCCTCTCCTGCCCTGCTCACCACACACTCGCATGCAAAGCCTGGGCTTGCTGCACTGGGCCCCTCTGAGGGAACTCCGAAGCCACCCCCCACACCAGGGTGTTGGTCAGCCCCTCCCCCTCTTGGGGCTGGAAGGAGGTGGCACTGGAGGGGGAGGTGGTGAGAACTGGTCCCAGGCTCCCCGGGCAGGGGCGGCTCACAGAGGGTGCAACTAGCCACCCCGGAAGTGCCAATTGAGAATTTACTGCAGAGTAGGGCTGTTCTAGGGGCTCAGAATCTCCTAGACCCCTGCCCTAGGGGAGAGCACATTCTAGAGGAGGAGACGGGCAATGAGAAGCAAACATAAAATATACGAATGTTAAAGGGGATCAGCTCCCTGGAGAAAAATCACGGAGCAGGGAGGGGCGGCTGCTGCCATTTAAACAGAGTGACCCTGAGGGCAGAATGGGGCTAGCGCAGCGTCAGCGCGTGGATGGGGTGAGGGGACTTGTGGGGGGATTTAGACTGGGGGTGGCGGGGGTAGAGGTCTGAATCTCTGCAGGAGGAACCTTAGAGGACCTGATGGGAAGATAGGGGTCTGTCAGGGCAGTCAGGTGGGGACCCGGCCCTCCGCAGGCAGGCTGAGGGTTAAGGCCAGTTGTGCCAGGGGGCGGTGAGGGCATAGGTGACAGATGGAGGGCAGAGGATGTCCCAGGGGCCTGGGGCCCAGCTTTATTCCATCCCCAGCCTCATCCCCACCACACTGTCCCCTCCCCACCACCTCCACCTTGTTCCAATCACATTAGCAGAGTGACAGCCCCAGCGAGCACTTGCAGCGGGTCCATAAATCTCAGGCGGCGTTAAAAGGCTGGACTCCGGGCCCACTTCCTCCCGGGTCACGGCTGCCCCATCCATCTCTGCAGCAGCCAGGCCACACGGGGCCTGCTCCAGCCTCCCCTCACCCCCAAAGCTGAAGGGGAGCTGGAGGATCCCCCCACTGTGTGCTCCCCATCTGTCCAGGGCAGGTGACTTCCCAGAGCGAGGTCCCCAGGCTGTCTAGGAGCCACTCCCTGCTCTCCTAAAGCCTCTGTGGTTATTGCTTTCAGCCTTCGGGGTGAGTCCTTGTCTTAATGTATCAGGCTGGCCCTGCCTTTACCTGTAGTTCACTCATTCATCCAATGAACATTTCTTGAGCACCTACAACATGTGCCAGACCCAGTTCTGGGTGCTAGAGATGTGGTCTTTCATTTTCAGGGGGTCTGTCGTCGGCAAGTCAATTGCACGGCCTGCTAGGAAGTGGCAGGTGCTCTGAGAAAGGCAGGGTGGGGCCCACGGAGGAGGTGGCGTTGGAGTGAAGACTTGTAAGAGGTGAAGGGAGTCACCACACGGACACCTGGTGGAGAACACCGCAGCCAGAGGAACAGCCAGTGCGGAGGCCTGGAGGTGGGAGTGGGCCTGGCCCGTTCCAGGGACCCCGGGGAGGCCAGCATGGCTGGCGCGGTGGGGGACAGTGGGCGGTATGGACGTGAGCCCGAGACGTGTCCGGGGATGTTGTGGGCCATGGTAAGGACCTTGGCCTTGGCTCGAGTAAGGCGAGAGCCTGGCAGGGCTTCGAGAAGAGGGGCGGTGAGCTGACTTAGGACTGAAAAGGCCCACACCTTTTTTGATCCTTTATCTTTCCGAACGGAATGGCTAAATATCCAGCGCCTCACATGGTCGCCGAGGCTGCTGCGTCACCTGTCACCTCCTGCCTTCAGGCTGGGCTCCAACCACTCCAGTCTTCTGAGCCTCCCCAAATGCCCCATGCTCTCTGTCACTTCCAGGCCTTTGTCTGTGCTGTCCCTTCTGCCTGGGACACCCTTCCCACCGCTCCTCACCAGACTCACTCCTACCTCTCCCTCGGGTCCCCATGGAGGGGCCACCTCCTTCCAGAAGCCTTCCTGACGCCCAAGGCGGGACAGATGCTCCTCTCCGAGCTCCCGCGGTGCCTGTGCCCCTCCACCCGTGGCGTCACACCTGTGTGACGGTGGCTGCTCTCATCTGCACTGTGAGCTCAGCGGGCAGTGCTTGTCCTGCACCCACTTCGGGGCCCGGCACACAGTAGGCACTCATCACCGGGTGATGAGTGAACGGACAAGAGCGCATGGCAGGTGTCGTCACCTCGGGCCCCTAGTCCTCCTGAAGGACAGGCTTCGGAAGAGGGTCCTTGCAGGGTCTGTCTGTGGGCCCACAATCCCCAGCAGAGCCCCCTCATGCCGTGAGGCTTCCCGGGTAGCTGTGACCTCTACGGGGACAGCTAGAGGAGAAGTGGGGAGGGAGGGAAAACATCTCTAGCCACAAACAGACCCCCCATCCTGCACCCCGGCTGGTCACCGACAGCTCTTAACGCGGCTCTTATTTATTTCTGACCTTCGCTGCCCCTTTTATTTTTCCCCCTTTTAAAACCTGGCCTGGGCCCCGCCACTGCTGCCGTAAACACAGCCCCCGGGATTTATCCGACGGCACATTAACCCCGGCCCCCTCGCGCACCAATCATCCCGCTGCCGGCGCAGACGGCGGGCAGCCCGGCCGGCGAGGGGCTGGGGGGGCCCGGCCGGGCAGGCTGGCCAAGGGAGGTCGGCACTGGGGGCAGAGGGATGCCCCCCTCACCTCTGGCACCTGCTGACTGGCCTGCATCCCTGACAGCCTGGCCCACCCTGACCTCTAACCTCCTGCCCTCCTGGCCCCACCAGGATCCTGCTTCAAAGGGGTCATTAATAATAGTGAACACCCCAACACTCGCAGGGGCTTCGCAGCTGGCAGAGCTCTCCCCGACTTTCTGAGACCTTGTTCTGTCTGCAGAGTCACCCTGCAAGGTCCCAGGGCAGCACAGAGATAGTTTTACCCTCACAAGTGGGGAAACTGAGGCCAAGGGGTCACAGGGCTGCATGAGGTCACCTGGGCATCAGGGCCAGGGCTGGGCTTTTCCCACCACACTGCAGCACCCCAGTCCCAGCTGCCCCCCAGGTACAGACCAGGAGGTCACCCAGCACTGGGGGACAGGGTCTGCTACCCAGCTTGGTCTGCTGAGGTGCAGAGAGGCCTGGGTGAGACAGCTGGGACAGGAAAGAAGGACCATGATGGGGGATTGAGGAGGGAGGTGGCCTGGGGGGATGGTGGGGACAGTGGATAGCAGTGAGCCAGGCACAGAGGGCTGAGGGGCTGCAGAGGTGTCACCACCACCCACCCTATCCCTCACCCCAACAGGAAGGTCCACTCACCACCGCCACCTCCAAGCAGGGAGCTGTTGGCTGCAAGAGAGAGAGACAAAGTTGAGTGAGTAGGGACAAGGCTGGGTGGGCTGGGCGGGGCGTGTGCAGGGGGTGAGAAGGGTGGTGGCGGCCATCGGCTGGGCCCCAGAGCGGCAGCCCAGGTCCTGGCCTTTGGACTTGGGCACGGGGTCTCCCCAGACCTCTGAGGAGATGGAGGATGCTCCTAATGGGCCTAGGGTTTGCAGGGTGGCAGAGGACGGGGGCATGGGAGAGCCACCAGGCTCACCTGGGGTGGGGTCTGAGTGGCGGACGACACGTGCCATGTATCCTTCCATCTGGTCATTTTCAGCCCATGGGACCTCCTAAGGCCCATCAGTTCCAGGCCATCAGGACTCACATGCTGCGGCAGGACAGAGACCTGACGCCACTAGGAAGCAACTGTGCCGCTGCAGCCAAGGCCAGGGCTGCCCAGGGAATGAGCAGAAGGCTGGAGAACATGAACTGGGGCCGGGGCGGGGAGGACCAATGGACAAGAGCGGCACGGGTGCCATGTCAGGGGCAGGAACCCGAGCCGGTTCAACAGTTGGCCCCGTGCCTCAGTTTCCCCAGAGGTAAAACAGGGAGACTAGCCCCAGCTCACAGGGTTGGTGTGAAGGTCAAGGGAGAGGGATCCTTCAGCTCCAGATCAGAGGTGGCGCTGCCAGGCAGAGCTGGGCTGGGCTGAGGCCACTTTCCTGAGCGGTCCTATGTGTCTCGCTCTGCCTGGCTGGCTGCCCCCTCCCGCCTGCCCGCTCGGCCACAGCCCCTCCGCTGAGTATCAGGGCTGTGCCGGTCAGCCTGGCTCCAGCTTCTGGCCACACAGCGTGCACCTGTGGTGTCTCCTGGTGCTAATCAGGGAAAGCGATGGGACATGGGGCAGGTGCATCCTCGGCCCAGGTGCTGCCCGGGTCGGGGGCCGGCTGTGCCACAGCCCCACAGCCCCGGGAGTCCTTAGGCTCCTCACACGCCTCTGCCACCCACCCCATCTTTCAGGTCCCATCACAGCCCTCCTGGGAGGACACAAGCAGAGCCTGGGCCAGCAGCGGGGGCTGCTTCAGGGCCGAGCAGGCTACAGGCCCGGGTGTTGTGCGGAGCCACAGATGCTGCTAAGTGGTGTCGGGCGGCTCCGAGTGGTTGGTCTCCCTGAGCTGACAGCTCTTCGCTAGGGGAATAATTAATTCCACAGCCCGAAAACCCAGGGCTGCAAGTTGCCACGTTACTTGCGAGATTAATACAAGCAGCTAATTAAGATGGAGAGGCGAGGAGCGGCCAGGCGCTCCCAGAACCGGGGTGGGGCGCGGGGAGCACGGGAGGAAGGTGAGCTGAGCCAGGCAGCCACGCGACAGGCACCCAGGCAGACGAGGAAGGCCACTGCGGTGCCGGCCCCCAAGGCTCTGGGGGTGCCCTCTGCCCAGGAACGCGCATTTCCACCGACCAAGTGAGGACTGTGTGCCAGGCACAGACTAAGTGCTTTACACAAATAACTCCACTTACCATCATAGCAAAGCCACAAGGGAAGCACTACTGTCCCCATTTTACAGAGAAGGAAACTGAGGCCCACAGAGATGGCATCGCGCAGTGGCAGTAGCAGGATTGGAACTGGGTCTGTCTGAAGCCAGAGCCACAAGGCGGGCAGACCTCAAGGCAGACTGCCCTGAGCAAACAACTGTCACAGGAGCTCCTCTCCCTGGCCAGGGTCGGGGCCTGCCTCCTCCAAACCAGCAGAGCACACAGCAGGCCCTTTCGGAGGCAGCCTTGACCCCACTCCCTGCCCCTGCAGGTCTGGCGTAGAAGAGAGAGGCTGGTGCTCTTGGAGGCAGGGGCTGGGCATCTGGACAGCCCTGCCCCAGAGCCAGGGGGAGAACGGGGCATCTCAGCTTGGCTGGTCCAGCTTTGACCCCCTAGCCTGGGGGCAGTCCTGGCGGCTGTCGGAAGCTGCCCTCCCCACCTCCCCCATTACTTCTCTCTCTTAATTAACACCGGCCACAAACGAGCTGGCTCCCACTCAAAGAGGTAACAGTGCCAAATGGGTTGGCAGAGGGACTGGAAGGGGAGGGGGTGCTGACCTGCCATTCTGCAGGCCCCTGTTGGAAGGGGCTGCCAATCCCCGCCGGCCTGGCACCCCCAAACCCCACGGCGTGTGGCCCTGCCTGGGCAAGGTGAGTGGGGTGCACTGGCCCGATGCCCACCCAGCCAGGGTCTGAGGAGGGAGGTGGGCCTGGGGCAGAGGGAGTTCACCAGGTACAGCTGGTGGAGGGCAGGCCAGGTGGCATTATCTGCCACAGGTGGGAAAGGGCGGGTGAGCCCAGTGCTAAGGGCTCGGACTTGGGCTGCACCGAGGACCTGGTCATGAGCCTGTCCCTATACTCGGTGGGCCTCCTGGGAGGCTGGTCTGCTGGGCCCCCTTCTCCCAGCCAACCATTCCCAGCAGGGCGGGGGGGTCCAGGGGGACGGTGGTGACCTGGTGGCCTGCATCCAGTTCCTCAGCTTGACCTACCCCCTGGGCCCCTGTTCTGGCCCTCTCCCCAGAGACCTTGACGCCTGGCCACGTGGTGCCCCCAGAAGGCTGTCCTAAGGTCCCCACCACCGGGCCAGGCTGTCCAAGGGGAGGTCTGGAGACTTGGAGGGAACAACCAGAAAAGGGGCCGCAGTGCTGGCAGAAACCAGTAGGCTGTCAAGTGGGAGTGAGCAGGACTGAAGCCATGGTGGAAACTAAAACTGCACGGGCTGTCGGCAAAGTTTTAAAGTACAGGTTTTTTCTTTGGCATGCATTTCTCTGAGTTCCCTCTTTTCCCATGGTTATTTGATATTTTGAACCTTGGTTATGGGGCAAGATGACATTATTTACATGACTATAAAATTCTTTTCCAGCCAGACTGAAGCCGCAGACTTGCATGTACTGCCCAGACCCTGAGATAATAGCGAGGTCGGGAGCAGAAGCCAGACGCAGCCTTGGCGCGAACCTGCACCCGGCCCCTCGCACGCCTCCTTCCCTCCTGCTTTTCACTCCCCATTTTCCATTCCCTCAGCCCCCTTTTTAAAAACCCTTCAGTAAACCTGAGTCTTGGAGATGGCTTTCGTCTGGCCGTTCTTCAGGTTTACCCGAGAGATGGGTTAGCCTGACATCTGTCCTCAAGTCACCTGTATTCCTGAATAAAGCTGACTTGCATTTTCACCAACATTTGACATGGGAGTGGTTTGGTTTTGAAAGGGGGCAGGCGGCTGTCCTGTGCCCTGCAACAGTCCCTGCAGCGTGGCTGCCCAGCCGTCCCACCCTGAAGCGGAGTGTCTCCAGCCTTCCTGCTCCCCAGGCCAGAGCTGGCCCCGGTCCCCAGACCTCGAGGCCCCGGCTGGCAGTTCCCACCTCCCCTAAGGGCCCCCACACACTGGGCCTGAGTCTCCAGTTCCTCCCCCTCCTACTGCCCCTTCCCCCTGCTCCTCTCAGTTTGGGTTGAGGCTCTAAATCACAACTGGTCAGTAGCCCATCTTTCAGATAAGAAAACTGAGGCTCACAGGGTGACTGGGGGGTGGGAGAATGGGGCTTGACTCCGGGTGGGCTGGCTGTCAGAGCTCACTTTCTTTTTTTTTTTTTTGTCTTTTTCCGTGTCCGGCAACGGATCGCAACCCTCAGTGTTGCCCCCGTACCGGACCGGGGACCGGCAACGGGATCGCAACCCTCGGCGTTGCTCCCGCGCCTCGCTCAGCCAGTGAGCGGGAACCGGTCTGCATGTGGGATCTGAACCCTCGGATGGGAGCGCCACCGTGCTTCCCAAGCGGCGCACTATCCAGTGCGCCACCGGGCCGGCCCAGAGCTCACTTTCTTAATTTTTTTTTTGTCTTTTTCCGTGTCCGGCAACAGATCGCAACCCTCAGTGTTGCCCCCGTACCGGACCGGGGACCGGCAACGGGATCGCAACCCTCGGCGTTGCTCCCGCACCTCTCTCAGCCAGCGAGCGGGAACCGGTCTGCATGTGGGATCTGAACCCTCGGATGGGAGCGCCACCGTGCTTCCCAAGCGGCGCACTATCCAGTGCGCCACCGGGCCGGCCCACAGCTCACTTTCTTTTTTTTTTTTTTGTCTTTTTCCGTGTCCGGCAACAGATCGCAACCCTCAGTGTTGCCCCCGTACCGGACCGGGGACCGGCAACGGGATCGCAACCCTCGGCGTTGCTCCCGCGCCTCGCTCAGCCAGTGAGCGGGAACCGGTCTGCATGTGGGATCTGAACCCTCGGATGGGAGCGCCACCGTGCTTCCCAAGCGGCGCACTATC